GCGATATCAATTCATTAACGGATTCCACACAAAGACGTAAACACAGAGCGGACCCGACGCATCAGAATCAGCTTTGTCTTTCTCGGCTTTCTCACCCGACGGCCGTACACGGACACACTGTCGGAGCTTAGCAATTCTGATGCGTCGGGTCCGCTCTGGTTTTTTTTGCCTGTCCCGTTTGGATCTTTAGCCATCAAAATTGTTGTCTGTAGGCCAAGAAAGATGCCAAGCGGATTTACTTTACCAATTGGATCATCATGGCCTTGCCATATTGGTCTATTTGATTGACCTTTATTATAATTATGTATTTATTTGATTTGATTTTCGGTTGTTACAGACACGACAGACATGACTGGGGGATAGGACAGGGAGAAAGAATGAAAGAAAGAGAGGGAGAGAACGAAAAATAGAGGGGAGAAGAGATGGCGAGTAAGGGGGGAAGAAAAAAAAAAGAAAAACAAACAAAACACCTGGATCACCTGTATGGAGATAAGAAAAAAAAAAAGAGAAAACAAACAAAAAAGAGCAACATAATAAATACAACACCATCACAATCACAAAACTAGCTAACAGTAGATACTAAATATTACATGTTATTATACATGTGATCGACAGCGCACAATGTGCTTTGAGGTAGCAGCCAAGACAGGTGTAGTTTGTGTCTGTGAACACCAGTGTACACCTCGGGTGTGCACACAGGTGCACACCTGTGTGGATCAGCACGCTTGTATTCAAAAGGTTTCTCCATGTAACAATCTGCTAGGAACTGTGGGGAGCCATAGCCCCGTCCCCCAGGGCATGAAGCAGGTATGGAGGAGATCCAGGCCCCAGACATCCAGAGGCCCCAGAATACGAGGACCCAAGGAGGATCACCAGGGGGTCAACCGTACCACCCTCCTGGGAAGAGCTGAGGAGAGCCCCAAATGAGAGGTCACCCAGCAGCCACAGAGCAGAGGCCAGAGGGGGTTGCAGTGACGTGCCCACGGGCTCTGCCGGCAGACAGCTGTCAGGGCTCTAGACTAACTTTTTGACATACCTAACTTCAAAAATTTAGGCATACCGGCACAAAAGTTAGGCGCACTCAAATTTTTCAACCGCATCGCTTAACACCGCAGAATGAAGCAGGGAATGAACAGAGGTGACAGAGGGAGATAACACAGAAGAACCAGCAACAGGCAGGAGAATACACAGGGCTTAAATACTCACAGGAGTAATCGTGGGATGGGAGACAGGAGGAGAACACACCTGGGAGAAATCAAGGCTGACGAGACACAGACGTAAGGCTGAGAACACTCACACAAGCGCTTTGGGGTCCTTAGGGACTGAGTAAAGCACTATACAAATGCAGGCCATTTACCATTTACCATCAACCAGTCACAGCTGCACTGACAGCTGTCATTCCTGAAGCAATCTCCCATGAATCATAAGTGTGTATCAGTAAATTCTCTCGAATAGCCTTAGGCGTCACATTGTACTTCACAATCTCCTTCAGACACACACTGCTGCCTCTTCAGACTCTCTCTGCTCTACTTTCACTGACTCTTATGTGACTTTTCAGTGAAACTTAAACACTGCTTCATCTGTTTGTAGGGTAAATATACAGTAACTCCCTTGTTTTGTTTGACATGTGTGTTTGTTTTGTGTCTGTGTGTGTGCACTTGTACAGGTTTTTACCAGATGTAGTTTTAATGTCACACCTTCCAGTTACAACCTAGTTAAATGTGAAATGAATACCACAGA